ACCACTAAAATAAGGGAAATGATTTTGAGATAATCTTTTTTATTATTTTTTGGTATAATTTGACATATCATTTAAATGATTCATCCATTTAATGTTGACTCAATGTACTCCAAGAGGGGAGGTGAATTGAAGTTTCAAAAATTCTCTCATTTTTGTAACCACAAAACCAAAATTAAAGAGAGTAGAGAAGAAGAGCTTACTCAATGATTTATAGAGGTTCAGTCCAACCACTTGGAGCCTAATTCTCTACCTTGGCTTCACTCACCAAGGATTTCCTCCACACTCTCCACTAACAACAATAAGGGTAGTTTAAAGGAGCCACTCAATTCTTTTACAAAAAGAAGGATGTTTCTCTCAAATCTCATCCTTTTACACTTAAACCTCAAGAATCCTCTCTACAAATCACTCTTGAAGGATTAATCACACCCCCAAGATCACTCACAAATAGAACAAGAAGAGGATTACAAGTAAAAATCTCTCAAAGATCAAAAACTCAAGTTAAAGCTCATGTAGGTAGGTAAAGATATCCAATGCAATGATCTTTAACCTTCCTTTAGATCTTTTACCAACCATATTTATAACCCCATGGTCGAAAATAGCCGTTATTAGCCATTGGAGGTCATTTAATGCTCTACAAGTCGCTTAATTCGAGTTGCAAAATTGTCAGTACAGCCGGCTTACACTTATAGAGCCGGCTCTGTATAGCCGGCTTAACTTTTCTGCAGCCGGCTCTGCGGGTTTCCAACATTCTGTTTTCTCCGTAGAGCCAGCTTAAAAATTCTGCAGCCGGTTTTGCGGGTTTCCTGCACATTCCGTTGTCTTCTATAGCCAGCTGCAAACCATAAAGCCGGCTTTGGAATTTCAACTTTAAACACATTAAATAATCTTCAAATAACTCGATCGTTGTGTATTAAATGCACCCTTACAACCGGCTGCAAAGTTGGAGCCGACTTTGCGTTTTTTCTCCGCGCACGCCAAACAACTAACTTTTAAGTTTTTACCTGTAGAGTCTGCTGCAGCTTTCAGAGCCGGCTCTCTGCACTTTCACAGCCGGCTGCAAGTTTTAACAGCTAGCTCTCTGTACATTTTAAAGCCTTTTGGTCTATTTTTAGTACAGTCCAAGTTTACTTACCTTGTAATCTTTTGACATTTTAACTACACACTTAAATGAATCAATTAGTCACTCAAATGTGTTTTGTAATCATCAAAATCATAGGTATAACATTTAATTTATGTGAGACCCGTGATATTGAATGCATCTACTCATTTAATGACATGTGAAAATTGTATCAAAATGTGAAATAAAAAGATTGTTCTTGAAAACCCCAAAGAGAACAATGAGACCCACAGCACGACAAGGGATTTCTAAATTCCAGGAAAGCTAAATCAGGTTTATGTTAAGACCTTGACCCGTTGTTTATGTCGCAACAAGAACCAAACCCAAACAAATTAAAACGAACAGATCAGTTCAAGCACTTTCTAGTAGTCATTAACTTGACTATTCCTTAATGCAGTAGAATTCCTAACTTAGGAAGGAATAAACAAAATTGCTATCTCCTTGTTTGAATAGAACTCAAAAAGAATTTTCAACTTTTTATTGGAGTAGGATTCCTTCTTCTTTAAGAATTTGGCCACAGATTTCTTCTCTATATAAGGAATTCCAACCACAGAATTGTGTTGCTTGTTTCTCTCTC